ATTTAATATAATTTTTTTTATTTAATAGTTGCAATATTGTATATTAATAATATTAATTAAAATTATTTTACTATATTATAGGATATAATTATGAGTTGGACAAAATTATTTGTTAAACTTTTTAAAAGTTATTCTCTATCAGAATTTTGACTATATAAATTGCATAATTGATGTTATCATACTATTGAAGCAATTAAAGAATTTGAAGCTATTAATGGATTTACAACAGAGACATATGAAACTTTGTACAAGAACTTTGTAAAAAAGCCATATAGAGCTAGTAATAGGTGTAATGCTACTAAACAAATAATTCAAACAGTTAATATACTTATTATTTATCTTAATTCTATTTATAGTTAAATTTTGCTAATAATAATATTTATATATAGGTATATCATAATTTAATTTTTAATTATCTATCTTAATACAAAAAAGTTTTACGATCTATAGGATGAATATCTAAAAACCTTTCAATAAATGGACTTCTAGAAGAATTCTTATTAAAAACAGCTGATAATTTTTTTTCTTCATATATATCAAAAAATAAACTAGCTTCTGAGGTTTTATTAGTTTTTGAATATTTTTTTTCATTATTAAATAAATTCTTTGACTTGTATGAGGATTTAACTGAAGATATAATAACAGGCAATATTATTATTAAATAGTATAGTTATACTAATAGAGCAGCTAGTGAAGATTATATTAGAGCAACAAGCAATTATTATAATGAACTATCATTTAGTGATGTATTAATTAGTATAGATGAAAGTGAAGAGTTTAGAACTGATAATGGAACTTGTTTTTGCAAGGTTTGCTAATAATATTTTTTTTAGTTATTTTAGAATTTTATTATATATTAATAATATTTATTTATTTTAGATTTTAATATTGATTACTGTTATTATTGAAAATTACTCTATACCATTTAATCTTGTACTTGTGCAATGGTATGACTTTTGATACAAAAATAACAATCACTTATATAAATATGATTATCCACTGATAAAGCTTTTAGATACTTATGATCTTATACCTGCAGAATCTATTATTAAGTTAGTGCAAATTATTAAATGTGAAGAAAGAGAAAATAAATACTTTGTTAATATATATATATTTTAATATTTATAATAAATAATATAAATTTAATCTAAGTAGAAGTTATTTGATCTTTGAAGAGCAGTTATGTTTAGAAATTATAATTAAATTATTGATTCAACTAATTGCTACATATTTATATAATATAATTTATAGAGAACTTTCTGTTAGAAAATAGAAACATTAATTAGAAAAATAAAAAATATAAAGATAATTTTATTTATTCTATAATACAAGTAATATATCTAATAATACGATCAAGAAATAAAAAAGCTATTCAACTACTATAAGAATTTATAAAAGTCAGTGCAGTCTTTTACATCATTGATAAGTGAAGATAGATTTTGACATGCCTAATTTATCAAACAGTACATATTGGCTAATTTTCCAAGTGAAAAATTTATTGATTTTATGATTATTAAATAGAATTTGTCAAGTAAATTTTTAGAAAGATCTTATGTGATAATATAATTATATCTACCTTAATACAAAAGAGGCATATTTAAATAAATTATTATATATTTCTTCTAATAATAGACTTTAACTTACAAGAAGCTACTATTTAAAATAATATTTGTTTTATATATTGCACAAATAAAATACTTTAATATATGCTTATGTTAATTTATAATACTAACTAATATAAAATAGTATTAAATTACATGAAAAATTAAACAACATTTATTATAAATGAGTATACTAACTCTAAGTATTAAATAATTATAATAAACAATATAATGTATATTGTTAAATTACAAAAATAATTAAACAACATTTATTGTAAAAAAGTATACTAACTATAAATATTAAATAATTATATTAAATAATATAATATATATTATTAAACAATAAATTAGTATTAAAAAATATAAATATTATTAACAAACAATAATATAAAACATTATAATAAAATAAAAATTTTAAGTTATTTAATAGTAAATGTTTATATTATTAATCACTCTTTCTGCTGATCACTCATATACAAAACTGTAGAAAAATATTTTAGAAGTTTGCTAAAAAATGGCTGTTAAAACCAACCTTATAAATTTAAGAAAAAAGATAGAGCTTGTGAAGAAAGATATAGCAGGAGGTAAAAGTAGAAAATTAAAAAGCTTGTAGAAAAGATAAAGAAGAAAATATCTCAGTCAACATTTGGAAAAATGAATTTGGAAAATTCTCTGTTACTTGGAAATGTTGATCTGTAGATCACAGCAACATGTGAATAGATAAACAAACAGACACGTGTATTGACAGACATATAAACAAATCCAATTTGGATAGTAATAGGCATAAGACATAGAAAGTGCTAGAACAAATAGTAAATAGGAGCCACTAATAACTAAGCAAAATATGAGTAGTACACAAAATCAGAAAGAAAGCCTAATGACAACTTATATTAAAAGAGCATATTGGGCAGCAAATGGTATACACAACAAGGTGTTTTTTAACCAAGCTAGTAAAATCATTCCAACATCAGACAGAGAAGATGAGATTGTGGCTATGCTAACAGAACAAGATGCATTAGAGGTTGCCTTGCTGCATATAACAAGAGAAATAATCAAGAAAGTAGAAAAGGAACAGTCAGATAAGAAAATCAATATTACAAAACAAGACAAGAATATTATTATAATAAAAGAACCTATAAGAAAACAAATACAAGACAAACAGGAAGAGACACATCAACAGTCAACAGAAGCAAACAGAAATCAAGAAGAAAAGGTAAGTCTGACAAACAATAATTAAGAAAAAGAAATTTTGTTTATACAAGAAAGAGACACAGAAGTAAAAAAGAAAGAGCAAGAACAAGAAGCCATCGAAATAGAAGTTGAAAAAAAATTTGATATAGTCAGAGAGCCTCTAAAAGAAATTATATGAGCCCCAAATAAAAGGAACTGTAACTAAGACAACAGTCTGCTTGTGAATATACCAGCACACAATGTACCAGAAAAAACAAAAGAAGAGCATATGAAATTTATTAGATGGTCATTAAGGAACAATGCGCATGTTAAAGATGTTAGAGAAGTTTTTAAAAGAAGAAACTTATGGATAGAAGTAGATTTTGACTGCAAATATGGCAGAAATGCAGCAATATAAAGAATTAGCAAAAAGAAAAGTGACTGGTACAGAATGATATCTAAAGAAAAAGAAGACATCATAAAGAGGCAGATACAACACAATGAGAAATATCAAAAGAGAAGTAACAGCAAAATGAGAACTAAAGAAGAAAAACAGAAATGGAAGGAGAACGAAACTAAAACAAATGAAAACCAATATGAAATAAACAAAGAATCTGAAGACAAGAATTATCTGACAATTTGGAATTTACCAACAAATATAAACAAAAAAGAGGTAGAATACATCTGTAGAAGATTCAGAAAAGCCCATATAGTAAGAATTAAAAGATCAAAATATAAGGCCTTAGCAGTAGTT